TCAAAAGAAATAATAAAACGGCAAATTATATCTGTTGATCCAATTATGAAAAATTCGCGGGCTCAGTGAGAGTCGAACCTACACAGCAAGGAAGGCTTTTGCGCAGCCAAGGCTCTACCACTGAGCTACGAGACTGACCGCAAGCCGTGTATTGTATCCCCATTGGGTCGATTTTACCCGCCAAACTTACTGCTTGTACGGAATTCACCATTACAGCGAGCTGACTACCCTGGCAGAATTTCCCAAGCAGTCATATAGAACCCACCGGAATAGCTACTAGGTTCACTTTGTTGTTAGGGGGTTGGCAGATTTGCTTTATTCAGTTGACCCAATTGTGAAAAATTCGCAGCCTCGATGGAAGTCGAACCCACACAGCAGGGAAGGCTTTTGCGCGGCCAATTATGGTAACTTACTTCTTAGCAGCCAACAGAAATCAACCCCTCTCCAACCCTAGGCCTATGACACTGGGGGCCAAACTACGGTTATTTGTAGAGAAGTTGAACTAAAAATCCGCCAGCTAATCCACAAACTACAAGAAGAACAGCAGGCCGTCCACTGCTCTCCCCCTTCTCGTTCGAGAACAACTCTGGAAACTTTTAACGACGAACAAAGAAACACTGAGGTGATCATTATTGACGCCGCCAAGAAACAGTTTGTCTTTCCCCGGGACCCCCTGTCGCTCGTGTTCGCACACGTAATCGAGTGCGACCATAGATTTAATAGGGATGAAACTGAAATCGTCGCAATGGCCAACAGAAAACGAGTGCGAGAATTTATTCGAGGCTTGGTTTTCTACCGCGGGCAGTAGAAACCGCCACGTTCACTTGAACGGTGGCTTAAGGTCAAGACTGGGCGTCCCCTGTCCTAATCACACATCAGTGACCGCTAACCCAGCCACCATGACATCAACCGAACCACCATCCGCACCCTCCCCCTCCGCAAACAGAGCCCCGTAAATTTTCGGCCCCCACGCCACCCACGAATATACCGCGACTCGCCCCGTCACACGTCTTTGGTCTAGCTGCCCATGTCGCCTATACTGTCTAGTTTGACTTTCTTACTTTCACACTTCCATTTGCCAGGATTAATTTTAGAGGCCCCAAAAATCCCATCGACTTATAATAAAAAACTACTACTGAAACTTGTTTTCGATAAATTCCGCCAATAGGAGGAAGAATTTCCATTTTCATTAAATTCCGCCTATATAAGGTAGAATTTCCCTCAATTAGCATTCGTATCCTGCGTAACAGAAGTTTATCTTGATCGAATTTATTCTATTTTAACATATAAAAACAAACTTAATCCTATTAAATTTAATATTTTTGATCCATTCCGCCACAATTACATATTTATTTACGCTCACTAGCCAAGGATTAAATGTCTGACCACAAAATACATTAAGTAGCTGGGCGGGGGGTATTGATATCTGGAGCGTGCCTACAAATCAATTTTGCCTTCCGTTTATTTTGTCTGAAGAGGGGCTAGGTTAACCAGCTCGAAAATTCACAAGTTCATCTTGATGTTTTTTTGAAGAATCTCTCCCTTTTTCACATTCCACTGCATACGATCCAGAGTGGACGCAGCACCGGTGATTTGTGCACGACTTAATTTACTGTGAGGTGGTAGCCTTGCGAGTATCTACCTCACTCCCTCCTCCTCTTCCACCGTCTAGCTCACTCCGTTGGGAAGACCGGCAGTGAGTTCGGTCGATGTCGTCAACCGGTGTTAATGCAAACCCCTAGATTGCACGCGCCTGGTCCGAATTCGAGTCGGTTGATCATCGACCAACGCACAGGCAAAATCGAAACCTCAATTTTAACGCTTCTTCAATTAGGATAAATTGATAAACACCACTTTCAGATGGAAAAAATCCCTTGTCAATATTTTCCTGTCGTTATATGACTGTTTGCTAGGTTCGAGGGTTCAACCATCGTTTCTAATAATGTCTATCGTGAGCTCCCTATCCTTATGATTGCAGGGACGCTGACTTGCACGTCAATTAATCCATAGTGATAGTAGCCGTGACCAGTTTTAAGGGTTAACCAGAGGGGATCACACGCATTTCATCCTATCAACAGCTAAAATCTGTGAACGCAACCTCCGTTGGGCCCTAAGCATTCCAATATCGGTCGCATAGTGCTCGCTGAAAGATTGATCCAGATTGGCATATCACATGAAGGCAAAACAACCAAAATGGCTAGTTCTATCAATTTTTCCAGCGTCCTAATATCCCTTGATTGCCATTTCCTGTGGAATTTTCAGCATTTCAAGTGCTGTTTAGCACGAGGGTTTCACACCTCATGAGAAGAGATGTCATCTATTGTGCTGTGTCAAATTTTGATTGCAGGCATTCCTCATTGTACCCTTTTCCGCCCACAGAATGCCGTCAAAATAGTGAACCTTCTTCTACAACGCGGTGCGGACCCAAATATACTCTGCAATGGCTATTCACCCCTTAGCCTTGCAATAGCAAACGGAAGCGAGCAAGTAAGCTTTGACCCATTCTGTCCCATTATTTGCTTTACTTTTATATTTGTTCCTCCTAACTAACCAGACATGGAGTTCTTGCTCCAAAAGCCTTTCGTTGACAAGTTGCATATCGGAACGTTACATTGAACTCCGATACTGGGATTGTCGGACCGCAGGTTTCGTGTGCAAAAAAGCATTTGATAAGAGGATTAGATACTTATACGTAGACTCATGTTTCTCTTCTCTCGAACGCGTACTCAGCGAGTAGAAATGCAATGTCATATGCCATTCGACCAGTGCTTCAACAAACGTGGACGAACAAAGAGCCGAGCTGAGTTAACAGTCACGTTTCGGCAGCTTGCACGTTCAACCACGCGTGCCCCGGCTCTGTTAACTTAGACAAGGCGGCACTTCTATCCAGGAAACGACTCAAGAACCCATCCAATGGCTTTGGTGGCGAAGAGCGCGAAAAAACTATTTCAAATCCGTCGCGTGTGTCTTCTTCCACAAATAGTGACGACGAATAACGCAAAACCAGTATGAGAAAAACCTGCACCGCTGACAGCAGTCTGGATTGTGCGTCGGCTAAGGTATTGGGTGCATTCGAGCTTGCGTAACAAGCAGAACTGTAACCCAACAAAATTGAGGATGCGATTGGCTGCATCTTCGGTTCCCTCCGGGGCGAAGGCTCGTGAGTACTCTGTCAGCTTTCTTTGCACTCTTCCCCTTCCCCTCTCTTAAATTTTCCCCAGATTGTCGATCGATTGTTGGCGGACCCACGGACACGAGTCAGTTTGCCATTGACCCATGGCCTAGGCAATGCGCTCTGTGTAGCGGCTGGCACGCAATACGAATTCCGCTGGCCCCTGGAATCGCGATTAAGGCTCATCAGAAAGCTTATTGACCCCAGTCCCCTCGATCTTATCCTGGTTCCCGTTCGCTGTCCGCCGGACTGCTCAGAAGGTGAGATCACATATTCTTTTCACTGGACCTAACTACTGTCCCACTTCGCCAGTTATCTTGTCTCGTCCAATAACACTATATCTACTCCTAAGTACTCTAATATAAGCCAAATGTAAGCATAAAAATCTAATCTAAGTGGTTTTAAGGTGAGTTGTGGAGTCCTATTCTGTCCTACTTTTCTTGATTAAGTTACCGGAATAGAATATACTGCTCTGAATAGTTCTAATAATATCCTTTTGCTCGTCTGCAAATCTTCGATCCGAAAAGAATTTTCCCAAATTAATTAATATATAAGCCTAGTTGCTGTCTAAAAATATAGATGATCTCCGATGGGACGAAGACGACTCGGTCGCTGGGAAAATCATTTTATTCGCCTGACGTTTCTAGATCCGTCGCGAATTCATTATCAGAGACATAAGCAGAAAGCAGTAACAGATAAGGGTAACATATTCACTGGAGTTTGCAATATTTATAGGCTACAGTCATTACTGCAAACATACAACGGCGATTAACGGTAAGTGCCTTCTTGCGTGTTAGTGTCAAGCCAGTACCGCACCACTTAAGAGCCAAGCGGTGGCTACAGAAATGGATAATTATCGTACTCACACAGATAACCACTATGAACTATAAATACCGTGCAACCTGTGCATGTTTCAATCCTATCTGCGCATGACTATGACTATGATACCATTACCTACGATTAAGGATTCCCGACGGAATCCGAAATGTCAGGACCATAAAATTCTTATTCCAGTGCTTGAATCTCCTTCTTCTGTGTTGGTAGTTTGTTGAATGGCTTGCGGGCTTTGACCTACTGAACCTTTATCGCGTGTGGTGGATTCGGGCGTGATGATTTCCGACCATCTGGCACTCCGGTGTTGGCGTAAGATGACGGGGTGGCCTGTCCGTTTCCCAAGTGGCGACTTGCTCGGGCTAAATTGAGTCTCAACACCGAATATGGCTTGGGCAAATCGTTGCACTTGTTTATGGATTTGGGGCCCATAAAGGGCCGAATGCTCTAGAGATATCATGGCTTGTGGTGATGGCGAAATTTCACTAATGCAAGCGTAATTAACTGTTACTCTGTCCTCGATATGAATGTATTACGGGAAATGTTAAACAGCGCTGAGTTGCCCAATTATAGCTGGTTCCGATAGGAGTTCCAGGATACCAATTCGACAGTGGTGCATAGAAATAAGTTCATTGCCATCATATACAGCTTCCGACGGGCGCTCGTAGATTGGATAGTTAGAGTGTTGGCTGTATTTGAGCCTTGTTCTAGTTTTCCTGAGTTCGTAGCCCGTCGTGGCGGCCGTGTTTTTTACAATAAGGCCAAGTGGTCATCTTACCTAATTGTGTATTTATTGCGTCTAAATTACACGTGGTTCTATGCTCGGTATAGATAGAACTATGGGGGTATAGAATGACTGCTAAAATAAGTTTACACTTTTAACAGTATTTTTAATTACTTTTCTAAAGTTAAACGAACACAATTACGCTGTAGGAAATGTGGTTGATCACGTTTACTACCAATTCGCTCAAGACAAGAGCACCTTTGGCAAGGCCTTTTACTCATTGACGCCTGAGGAAAGAGCCGTTTCGGTCGGACGAGCCGCCGTATTGGAACTTCTGGCGGAAGCTATGCGAGAGGCCAGCTGTCAGTTGGGAGGCCTAATTGGTATGTGTTCATCCACTGGAGAAGAACATTTTTATTTGCCTCTTGGCAATTTTTTTTCATTTACACCATCCCTAAAGCACAATCTTAAAGTGCTTCGATTTTTATGGTTTATTCTAACAAAGGAAGCTATCGCGTAGCGTTAGGGTTAATCAGGTTTAACCCTAACGGCTGCGAGCTTCCAGGCCCGGTTACTTAGGTGAGGAGAGAAGTCTTGGGAAAGCTAGATTGTTAGGAAGAGTATATTCTGTACAGAATGAATAGGAGGATAGGCAGTAGGCAGTTGACTACCAGACGACCGCACAACCGCAGGCTAGCGGACGGCGTCTGAAGTGAGGTCTGTTCGGCAGTCATCAAATGAGAATCGGCCTGTGATTGGCTGTTACAGAGACCGGAAACAGCGAGCCTTCCGAAAGTGCACTTCGGCTTGAGCTAGTCACGACAAGCGTTCACAAGTGCAATTAGTTTTATGTTAGTCACAAAAAAGTTTATTAAAATTTCCTATATCACAACTCAGACATACAGTTAGCCTAGGACAGAGAAATTACAAGATTCCTAGGGATGATCATCTTCTATTTTCTATGGTATTGTATATCCTTAACTAGAAAATGAGAATAAAAAACTTCGGGTCGCCAACAGGGGCTGAACTTTTAAAACGCATGCGCAATTGTTTTGCTGTCGCGTGGCATTGTCTCAAATGACACAGAGCTGGCATGCCTGGATTTGGGATTTCCCCATGTCTGCTTTCCCATAACCAAGGGCGTAGTAACCGGATTTATTATGTCGTATAGCCCAGCTGTGTTGAGCACAGTTCCTGAAGCATTTCATCACCTGTTAGACTTGTTGGTAATTAAGGCACTGAGTCTTACTCGACTGCAAACGCCGGTTTGTTTTGGTAATAGGACAAACTCTGATCGAGCAGTAGCGTCATAACCGCCCCGACATGACAGTACCCAAGTAATTACTTCGCGTCTCCCAGATAACAAAATATTGCAGCCCGAGGTAGTGGGTAGATCCAGAGTACTACACTATTGCACTAGTAGGATAAAATGGAAGCCAGCGGTCCGAGAGGCTTATTTTTGTCTGAATCCCAATACTCGCTGGCGAAGCCAGGCAAGAGTAGATACGAATTTTAGCTGTATTTGTTATTTTAAGATACACAGCTATACTGAATTCTGTATTATAAAGTTTAATCGAGCAAAGAAAATATCTTTCATGCTTTCAGAAGCCACGGATTTCGTCGGCTCGCCTGAACGGTAGGTCACTAGAAAGTTTTTAGTTTTATACGTTAATTTATCCACATTGCTTACCCAAACTGCAGGAGCCACACTTGAAATTCATTTCGTTCACTTGAAACGCAAAATACTTGCAAAAAAGAGTTACTATTATTATATTACCTATAGCGGAAGTGTGTTCATCAGTAAATGTACAAGATATCCTCCTCCGTTCGTGATTTTTGGCTTGATCTTGAGGTCCGCAGACAGTTACACAGTCAAGATAAACTGGAGGTGGAGGTGGTGCTCTACCGATTGGCTTAGTTACCTGTGCACTTATACTTGGTACGGATAGGATAATGCTTGATTTAGCTGGCCTCAATACTACCACGTATGGCAGTTCATCACACACTATCCTGACAGCTTAAAAGATTCTCTTCGCAAGCGACAGACGCCGAATGCCGAAAATCCAGGAACCACCTCCACGTCTTTGGCAAACTGTGCAGAGCCAGATTGTCTTTGTCAACGCCGCCAAGTGTCATATGGTGTTGAATCGAGAACAGTAACAGTGGTCTCTTAAGGCAGATGACGAAAGAGGGGCCCAAGCCATCTCATTCTGCCCTCTTGTATGACCAGACATATCCTTGCCGTATTGTCGCAAGGAGTGCAGGCTTCCCTACTTGAGACCATATCGGTGTACTTCACTCAACGGATTGCCCTCAAGCAGTAGTAGTCACATATATTCTGTAGTCGCTTATGTTCCACGCGCAGCGTCCAGTCGCAGAGAAGGACTCACCGGATGGTGGCAAAAGATGTTTTGCATTAGGCAATCCCGTCAGAAACATTGACTCGTGGAACAATG